TAATATTACAGGGGCAACTTTGTAGAACCTTCCTTGGAAATGCCTCTAAAGGTTGAGAATTCAGGTGCTGCTTGTCCTTGGTGCGGGGACTTCCCATCCCTGGGGCAGGTCACACCTTCTTTAGATGTTGTACTTGCCATGAGGTCTTATGGAACTTCACTGCTGGGTAATAATAATTTGGATTATGCAGCGTTATCATGGACCTGCTTAAACCCACCTCTTCGTTTTGGAGAGCAAAATTGGTGGAAATTACGGGGGTCAACCCCGTATTCATCCCAAGTGAACAGGTGGGAAGATGCCTTCAAAGGAAGCAGAAGAAGAGTGGAGATCCTTAAGGGATGTCCTCACTCCAGGGAAAGCCTTTTAAAAAAGACAAATATGATCAGACTTGCATTAGAGGATCTTAAGCTGGTACCGCTGGGTCTTCCTGGAAGGAAAATATAATTTTATAAGCACCAGACAGCTCAGAACTTAATGCAAATAGCAGCAAAACCCCAAAGTGACACCCACAGCTGTATCACGTCAGCTGCTATCACATTATCCTGGAGGTTATTTTTTGTTAGGTTATGTTAGGTTTATTTTTGGGGGCAAATTTCCACGTTTTGGAAAATATCCTTCAGTTTAGTTTGTTCCCAATATACTCAGCGTCTCCTAAATGCTGCAAGATAAGTTAAGGCTTCTTTAGACCTTCGATAAAGTGGAAATCATCTGGGACTTGGATGCTCCAGCTGAACAGCTTGTTGGGGGGAGACTGAGGGATCACAGAGGGTTGGAAGGGACCTCTGGAGATCATCTGGTCCAACCCCCTGCCAGAGCAGGTCCACCCAGAGCAGGTCCCACAGGACTGTGTCCAGGTGGGGTTTGAATGTCTCCAGAGAAGGAGACTCCACCACCTCTCTGGGCAGCCTCTTCCAGGGCTCTGCCACCCTCAAAGTGAAGAAATTCCTCCTCATGTTGAGATGGAACTTCTTATGTTCAAGTCTGTGCTTGTTACCTCTTGACCTGTCCCTGGGCACCACTGAAAAAAGACTGGCCCCATCCTCCTGACACCCACTCTTTAAGGATTTATAGATGTTGATCAGATCCCCCCTCAGCCTTCTCTTCTCCAGACTAAAAAGAACCAAGTCCCTCAGCTTTTCCTTGTAAGGGAGATGCTCCAGACCCCTCATCATCTTTGTGGTCCTCTGCTGTATCCTGGAGTCCATATTCTTTTCCTTGCACCCTAACAGAAGACAGAAAGTGCTGCAATGGCAATAAAGCAGATTTTCTGCTTTTGCCACTCATGCAAATAGCCCGTGGGGAGTGGGACAGGTATAAAGGTGCTTGAGCATCGTGTGGAGTTGCCTCTCCCACCTGCAAGGTGAGCTGATGGCCACAGCCCTCCTTTGCAGGAGGGGAAACTGCTCGGCACCATCCACCTTGATGAAATGCTTCATTTTCATGAAGCATACATCATTTTCACCTCTAAATAGGAAAGTTTGGACCATGGGTGTTGCTTCTTTTCTGGTCATTGTTTGGGGACTTAGGCAGGAGACAGCAATGCTGTGCCTTGAAATTAGATCCCCCAGCAATTAAATTCTGATTTTCCCCATCACACCTGGAGCAAAAAAAAGTGAAAGGAAAAAAAAAATATGGGGAGGAGAGAAGAAAAAACATCATTCTCTACAAGTAGATGTATAGAGATGGATAAGTGGATGTGGGAATAGTGCTTTCTTAGATGATTTAGGTGCTGGTTGAGTCCCATCAAGTCATGCCTTGACCATTGGGAATGTTCTTCATCTCTTTGGCCTGGTGTAGGCAGTGTGGGAAGAGCTGCTGCTGGACTGGGCAGAGGATGGAGCACAGGGGGTGGATGCTGGAGCTGGAGGTCTTGACTTGGTGGGTTTCATGGGATAGATGTAGATACTGGTTCATCTTGGTCTCCTCCGACAGCTGGGACTGTTTAGTTGGAGGAAGGGGAGGCTGAGGGGAGGCCTCATCACTCTCTACAACTACTTGAAAGGACACTGTAGAGAGGTTGGTGCTGGTCTCTTCTCGCAGGTAATTAATGACAGAACGAGAGGGAATGGCTTCAAGCTCCAACTGAGTAGATTTAGACTGAACATTAGGAAACAATTTTTCACAGAAAGAGTGGTCGGGCATTGGAATAGGCTGCCCAGGGAGGTGGTTGAGTCACCCCTTGGATGTGTTCAAGAGCTGTTTAGATGTGGTGTTGGGGATATGGTGTAGGGGAGAACTTTGTAGAGTAGGGTAGATGGTTGGACTGGATGATCCCAAGGGTCTCTTCCAACCTAGACGAGTCTATGATTCTGTCATCCTCCACGCTGAGGGTTGCCCAGCGAGCAGCTGGTGCACCATGAATGGTGGCTTGGGTCACTTACGTGCCGGTTGGACCAGCTCTGTGGCTCTAAATCCTCACCCTAACTTGGACTTCTCTTGTCTTCACCAGGGTACACTGCGGGGACTCCCTACAAGGTCCCACCGACCCAGAGTAACAACGCACCTCCTCCCTACTCGCCGTCTCCGAATCCGTACCAAACCGCTATGTACCCCATCAGAAGTGCCTATCCACAGCAGAACCTGTACACCCAGGTAGGTGTCGTGACGGCCACCACAGTAGCTCACCGGCGTGTAGATGCAGCCTGAGGTTCCTACAGGGCTTCATCCTTGGCCATCAGGGCTGAGCACCCATGTCCTGGTGGGATGGAGGTGCTCCTGGTGGGGCTTGGTGGGTCTCCAGGATGTTGGGATCTCCTCTCCTGCCTTCTCCATTGGATCTTCTGGATGAGACATGGTCTTACATGTTGATGTGTAGTGGAGTCAATGCAGTGGCATCCCTGTGACTCAACCAGGTTGGGAATGAGGTCACTTTCTCCAAAATCACATGCCTGACTGATGGGGCTTGCTGGCTCCAGGGCGGTCCCTGCACCCACCTTTCCCCAGCTCTCAATGTTACTCTTCCCCAGGGCCACAAATAAGTTTGGGTCACCACAAGGTGCACTTGCTGGTGGCTTTTGGCATCTCACTCAGCTTGCATCACCCTCCTGCCACCTTACTTGGGAAAGCTGCTGTGTCACCTTCACTGGCACAAACTACTTCAGGCATGACCCAGATACGTGTCCTCATGGAGGAGCTCCTCCTCGAGCACCTGGATGGATTCCAATACCATCTTCTCTGCGTCTGCATTGCCACCGCCTCCAGCTATGTGCTGGGGCCAAGGTCCTCCACAGGGATGCAATTTAGGGCAGATGTCCTCCGAAAATAACCTTGATGCCCCTTCCCACTGAAGATCATGAGCTCCTCAGACAGATCTGGTCCTACAGCTTCCTTCGCTTCCCCCCTCCTCTTTAAGGTCAAATAACCAACTTCTCCAATACCTGCAACCCCATGGAGTGGTTTCTCCATGCCTTGCTGAGACCAGATCATCTCCTCTTGCTGATTTTGTCTGCTGTCACCTCTCCTTCTGTTAACTCAGTGTTGCATAAACCTCTGGAGACCAAACCCACCCCTGCCTACTGGTTCCTCTCCGATCCCAGGTTGACATCCACTAGCAGTGTCCACCAGCAAGCTTGAGATGGAGCAGGTCTTGTAGACGCTGTTTCCTCATCTCTGCTTCCCAGGGATGGGCAAATAAGAGTTTCAACAGCCTGGAAGGGAACAACATCAAGAAGGAGGTGCTTTGGCAGGTCCTTCCAGCACCTTCTACTTGCAGCACCCACTGCCTGGGTTGTTCCTTCTCCGCAGCTGATTTCTCAGTCACCTTCATGAGCCAAATTTATCTTCTTGTGTCCTCCTCCTTCTCCAGGGAATTGCCTTTCAGCATCTGCAATTTGTCCTATCAACCTTTGTAGCTCCTGAAAGAAAGACGTAATTTAACAACTCCCCTGCATCTCCTTCTCCCCTTAACCCATGCTTCCAGAGGTTCTCTGATGGCTTTCACTAACGCACGATAAAATCTCCCTTCGTTGTTTTAAACCCTCTAAATCTTTCTGACCATCCCTGGTTTGCAGGTACCAGTGATGTCCCTGCCTGTCCTGGGGACGGCAGTTCTCTCCCTTGTGATGCTCATGTTTCAGGCCCTTGGACCAAACCCGCCCCTGCCTACTGGTTCCTCTCCAATCCCGGCTGTGGTGGGAGGTTGGCATCCACTAGCAGTGCCCACCAGCAAGCTTGAGATGGAGCAGGTCTTGCAGATGCTGTTTCTTCATCTCTGCTTCCCAGGGATGGGCAAATAAGAGTTTCAACAGCCTGGAAGGGAACAACATCAAGAAGGAGGTGCTTTGGCAGGTCCTTCCAGCACCTTCTACTTGCAGCACCCACTGCCTGGGTTGTTCCTTCTCCGCAGCTGATTTCTCAGTCACCTTCATGAGCCAAATTTATCTTCTTGTGTCCTCCTCCTTCTCCAGGGAATTGCCTTTCAGCATCTGCAATTTGTCCTATCAACCTTTGTAGCTCCTGAAAGAAAGACGTAATTTAACAACTCCCCTGCATCTCCTTCTCCCCTTAACCCATGCTTCCAGAGGTTCTCTGATGGCTTTCACTAACGCACGATAAAATCTCCCTTCGTTGTTTTAAACCCTCTAAATCTTTCTGACCATCCCTGGTTTGCAGGTACCAGTGATGTCCCTGCCTGTCCTGGGGACGGCAGTTCTCTCCCTTGTGATGCTCATGTTTCAGGCCCTTTATTATTTTGGATGTGGACCTTTTTCTGTTGGCTCCTTTCTTGTATTCCCACCCATCCTTCCTCCCTTTTTTGAAAACCCCATGGGTCTCGGCAGCCTGGATTTTGGAGCCCATCTGTCTCCCATTGGAAACGCAAGAAGGTGATGTGCTTCCTAGACCCAAGCAAGCACCTTGGGCTCAGCCATGAGTCAGGGCTTCTCCTTTTCTTCCATCTCTTGTTCATTTTCTGTGCCAGAAGCCAAAGTTTTTAGGTCCAGGCCCCATTTCTTCCCAATGAAGGGAGGGAGCATGGTTTATCCCTGACGAGCTGACTCTCCAACCCATGATGCTGATCCCTCCTCCCAGTCCCGTTGCCTTCATCCATCCTGGGGACCGTCCCACATGTCCCCAGTTCAACTTCATCCTTGCTTCTCCACATCTCCAAGCACAGGAGCTTGCTCATGGGAAAGACCAGCCCTTTGGCAGCGCTTGAGTGATGTCCCATGGGCAGCTCTTTGCACCAGCAGCGACGCGTGATGCCTCCTTGTCTTAATATTCCTTCTGCAACACATCTGGAGGAGCTGAGGGCTTGAAGTCTCGACGTAAAGGACGTCACAGCGGAGTCACTCCAGGCTCATGATAAGGCTGGGTTTGGGAACCTCCTGTGTCCCATCTGGTGTGGGGCCATGCGGGACTTGTCCCGAGAGCATCACTGCTCTCTCCGTAGCAGGATCTGCAGCCAGATCTAAATAAAATACCAGGTCTCAAGTCACTGCTTTGGCTTGTCTTTTCCATCGAATCACAAGGATGATGATGTTGGGTTTGTTTTTTGTTTTTTTTTCCCCTTCTCCAAACAGGGAGCGTATTATACCCAGCCAGTGTACGCGGCACAGCCTCACGTTATCCATCACACCACCGTGGTTCAGCCCAACAGCATCCCATCGGCCATCTATCCGGCCCCGGTCGCTGCGCCCAGGACCAACGGTGTGGCCATGGGGATGGTCGCTGGGACCACCATGGCAATGTCAGCAGGTAAGAAGGAAAATCTTCCCGTGCTCTGAGCCACAGTTTCATCTCTCGGGTGGGACGTATCGAAACAACCTGTAGTGATAGGTCTGTAGTGATAGAACGAGGGGCAATGGCTTTAAGCTGGAGAAGAGCAGATTTAGATTGGAGATGAGGAGAAAGTTCTTCACTGTGAGGGTGGTGGAGCACTGGAACAGGTTGCCCAGGGAGGTGGTTGAGGCCCCTTCCCTGGAGATATTCAAGGTGAGGCTCGACGAGGCCCTGGGCAACCTGGTCTAGTTGGGGGTGTCCCTGCTGACTGCGGGGAGGTGGGACTAGATGACCTTTGGAGGTCCCTTCCGGCCTGGACAATTCTATGATTCTATGTAGAGAAGCAGGGATTGGTCTCTTCTCCCAAGTCACAGGCGATAGGACAAGAGGAAACTGCCTCAAGTTGCACCATGGGAGGTTCAGATTGGATATTAGGAAAAACTTCTACACTGAAAGGGTTTTCAAGCATTGGAATGGGCTGCCCAGGGAGGTGGTTGAGGCATCATCCCTGGAGGTGTTCAAAAGATGGGTTGATGTAGTGCTTAGACACATGGTTTAGTAATGTGGGGATTTTTTTTTAAGAGTTAGGTTGATGGTTGGACTAGATGATCTTAAAGGTCCCTTCCAACCTAGACCATGCTATGATTCTAGGATTCTAACCTGAGCAGGATCCTTGAGGCTGCAGAATTCCCCTGCACACAGCTATTTGCAGGTTCTCCTGCTAGTTTTGCTGGCTGCTTACTGCCCTTTGCAGGCAAAAAGCAATTAATTTGCTCCTGATACTGATCTAACTCAGTTTTTAGGGTGGCAGAGGAGACCTTTCTTTTGGCTCACTCTAGAGGGCTGCGCTCTTGCATCCTTAAATATGATATTTTTTCCTCTCTCTGTTCTATAAGTAGAACCGTAGAATCATAGAAAGGTTGGAAAAACCTTTAAGATCATCGAGTCCAACCATCAACCCAACACTGACAAACCCACCACTGACCCATGTCCCTCTGGGGGACCAGATCTGCCCAGCTTTTAAATCCCTCCAAGGATGGGGACTCCACCACTGCCCTGGGCAGCCTGTTCTAAAGTTTGATAACACTTTTGGTGTAAAAATTCTTCCTAAAATCTAATCTAAACCTGCCCTGGCGCAACTCGAGGCCATTTCATAGAATCATAGAATCATAGAATGGTTTGGGTTGGAAGAGACCTCAAAGATCATCGAGTTCCAACCCTCCTGCCATGGGCAGGGACACCTCCCACTAGAGCAGGTTGCTCAAAGCCCCATCCAGCCTGGCCTTGAACACTTCCAGGGATGGGGCAGCCACAACTTCCCTGGGCAACCTGTTCCAGTGTCTCACCACCCTCAGAGTAAAAAATTTCTTCCTGAGATCTAATCTGAATCTTTTTTCTTCCAATTTAAAACCGTTTCCCCCTGTCCTATCATTACACCTCCTGGCAAAGAGTCCCTCCCCAGCTCTTCTATAGGCTCCCTTCAGGTATTGAAAGGCCGCTATAAGGTCTCCCCGGAGCCTTCTCTTCTCCAGGCTGAACAATCCCAGCTCCCTCAGCCTGTCTTCATAGGAGAGGTGCTCCTCTTGTCCTAAGTTATTCCTAAATAGAGGAATGATGAAATTTGTCATTCAACTACCCTTGTATTTCTATCCTTAAATTCCTTTTCTGGGGTATTTATGCTCTTGCTGCTTATATTTGACAAAAGGAACATTAACTTTGTTTTATGTATCCCAAATCCTCTGCAATTTTTTGTGTGGGATTGCTTCACGCTGCAATTAATAGATAGCACATTAAGTAAGGATACGGGCTGCTATTATTATTATTTTTTTTTCCCCAAAGCCTGTATTTCTCTCCTTTAACAATCCTTCGGATTGTGTATTGAATTATGCCAAGAAATGCATCATTCATCCTTTTGCATCTGCGTTAGCTGTGAAATAGGACTCTGTTAGGGTTTGCAATCCCTGTTACAAGCAGAGAGATTGCAGCCTGGGTGTGACAAGAGCCACTCGGTGAGAGATTTGCTGTTGCTGATGCTGAGAAGTGAGTGAATCGATGTAATGAGGTTCCACAAGAGCAAATGCAAGGTTCTGCACCTGGGCTGGAACAATCCTCACCATCAGTACAGACTGGGGGGTGAGGGATTAGAAAGCAGCCCTGAGGAAAGGGACTTGGGGGTGCTGGTGGAGGAGAAGCTGGACATGAGCAGGCAGTGGGCACTTGCAGCCCAGAAGGCCAATCCCATCCTGGGCTGCATCAAAAGATGCGTTGCCAGCAGGTCCAGAGAGGTGATTCTGCCACTTTGCTCTGGTGAGACCTCACCTGGAGTATTGTGTGCAGGTCTGGAGCCCTCAATAGAAGAAGGACATGGACCTGATGGAGAGGGTCCAGAGGAGGGCCACAAGGATGATCAAGGGGATGGAGC